CATAGAAAGAGCAATAATAGTAAAACTCGAGCGTCACGACATTGCGAAGTGTCTGCTCTTGTTCCTCGTATCGTACTCACTCGAGTCAATCCGAGATGGCCCGAGTGAAGTTTCATGCAAATGTTTCGTACGGGAAAAAAATCGCGATCGGGCCCACTTTTCAAAAGTGGGCCCGATCGGCTAAATAAACGGGCCCGATCGTCTCGTGTGCCCGATCGTCTGTCACCCAAAATATTGGCTGGATGGACCAACAGGATGACCGTGACGATAGGCCTAGCTAGCCAGCCTACATCTACTCCGAGTTCTACTATAAATACACGATGATACTCTAAATTAATTCCAAGTTTTAGCCTAGGCTAGTTTTGGATGTTCCACAAAGCTTCTACATACATCATGATCGTGAGCGAATTCAATAATTTAGTAGTGTATGTATAGGTCCTACCAGGGAACAGTGGTCCTACTAGTCTCCTTCGAACCGAAAGTGGACGCAGTATAATTGCAGAGTGGTAGTATACGGACCTACCTAGGCCTCAGACAGACTTATTACCTGCTCTTACGTTGCAACAACATGGCCACCTGGTATGGTATTGTATTTATTCACTGGCCTGGCGCAGTGGTGGGGAAAATCCCCAAACATGCATGATGACGTAAGATACTGAACTTTCTAGTTATATCATGGATATGGAGGTATTACAGTTATAATACTGTATATGTGTATGCATGTACAGTGTGTGTCTGTATGTGTGTGAGTATGTGCGTGTGTGTGTAGGTATGTATATGTATGTATGTATGTATGTATGTATATATATGTATGTATGTATATATATGTGTATGTATGTGCGTGTATGTATTATGTGTATGTACATGTGTATATGGGTGTATCGATGTTCATGATTTTGGTGCTTTTTCTCTTTTTTTTACTTGATTTTTGTTATTCCTGTTTTAATTTTGATTTCATTTTTATTTTTTTATTTATTTATTTATTTCTTTTTCGTTTTGATTCTGTCCTTTAGTTTACATTTTCAAAATTTAAGCCTGTACTGTAGTTTTTCTTTTTGAGTTAAGCTACTGGCTTTATCTGCATTCCTGGTTAATTTGCTTTCTTTATATGGTTTTTTTATTTGGTTGTTACTTTTGTATTTTAGTTTGTTATTGTTGTTGGACCGCACCACAAGAGTTGTGTGTGCCACCGTTCTAAAGGTGAAGTGTCAATAAATAAATAATACTGAGAAGGAGATCACTCGAAAAAGCTACGCGCATGCAGCGCTATGCAAGAAACCAAGATCAAACTGCCGCAGCACGTGAAGAACGTGAAGTCCGATGAGTTCCTCGTCATCAAATTTTCAGCAGGCATAGTTTACCAAAAAATTGAACATGGCGAAAAGGAGAGCACCTTGTTTCCCGACGCGCACTAAAATATTAAACATATGAATATTTTCCACCAAAAAAAGGTTTAATTTAATTTCCGAAACTTTTGTTGGTGGAAAATATTCATATGTTTAATATTTTATGAGATGAATGTATCAGCTTCAAAATGGAAACAATTGCGCAGCCATAGTGATTGACTATTATATGTAGTGCACGTCGGGAAAACAAGGTGCTCTCCTTTAGACAGAGTTATAATGAACACAGAATTAACATAAATATTTTACGTAATCCGTTCCTGAAATATACAAATAATAACATACTAAAAGTCCGAAAATATCTAATCAGGAGAACATTGTTTATTATAAAGACATTTACTGGTTAAAATCAAACGCTTTGTTGCACAACTGCTCTGGGGGAAGCATATAAATGCATGTTATTGCCAAATTGTTGCTAACGAAAAAAAATGTGAATCATAGGGCGTACGTTAATCCATGGCATAACTAGCGAGATTTCCAGACTGAATGATTAACGAACGCTAGCTTAAAGCCCCATTCCCGGCAAAATTTCAATTTTTAAGAAAAATCTAATTTTTGTATAATGTTATGAAGATTTATAAATACAATACGGAATTGCTAGTTTAACTGAATTTAGACATTCCTAAGAATGAAAAAAATGTAAAATAAGACCTGAGAGATACGCCAGGTGTATTTAACCCCGGGCGTACGTTAATCCATGGCATAACTAGCGAGATTTCCAGACTGAATGATTAACGAACGCTAGCTTAAAGCCCCATTCCCGGCAAAATTTCAATTTTTAAGAAAAATCTAATTTTTGTATAATGTTATGAAGATTTATAAATATAATACGGAATTGCTAGTTTAACTGAATTTAGACATTCCTAAGAATGAAAAAAATGTAAAATAAGACTGAAATTTGATTTGTTTGTGTTCCACACAAAAAATAAATGCGGATGAATTTTTCATGTTGATTTTGCGATAGGCCGTGAGAAGAAATATCGTAGGCGCCGAAAACATTAGCCTATCCAACGCTGCTGGCTAGGCCTAGCCTTACCTCGATTTTAGGTTCTGTTATCACACATAAAAACGGCCGACATGATATTTTCCGTTGCTAGTATTGATGCTTGTGAAATATAATATTTCATATGAATTATTTCAAATTTGTTAAAAAACTGATTCTGACTGAGATTTTGACACTTAAACAAACACATCTCAGCCTAACTGAACGACCGCATTGTGCGAGATGCGAAGTACAAAAAGTAATCTCATTAGAGAGGGCGCACTTTATTGACTGTATAAAGTATACATAAAAGCGAGAGTATTCCAGTGGATGCGATCACATCT